TAGCTAGGTAGGTAGGTAGGTAGGTTGGTAGGTAGGTAGCTAGGTAGGTAGGTAGGTAGGTAGGTAGGTAGGTAGGTAGGAGGGAGGCAGGTAGGTAGGTAGGTAGGTAGGTGAGTCTGCTGTGTGTGGTTGTGTGTGTGTCTGTGTATGTTTAGATGTAGGCATCTATGTGTCCACCTACCTACCTATCTACCTATCTATGTATCTATCTATAACCAATAGATTTAAGCGGACATATCAGTATCTATATAGTATATATGTGGACACATTTGAATGTTTTTGTAATGTCTGTCTTTGTATAGACCTACATATATGTATAAGTTTCCAGTGTATGTGTCTATGTGCATGTAGATGTGTATGCACATGGGTATTTTTCACATGCATGTATGTATGTACGTTTGCTTGTATGCATGTACATATGCATGTGTGCACGGATGCATGTATGCATGCAGGGAATGCATGTGTGTGTGTATGGGTATGTCTCTATGTATATAAATATATATATATATATATATGTATGTGTGTATATCACTCCGAACAGGACATCAAGAAGCAGCCCATCACCAAAACCGAGCCGGCCGAGAAGATGTGCAAGCAGGAGCCTGCTTGCGAACCGGTTCGGCCCCTCGGAGAGCCCAGCAGCCCGCCTGGAGCCACGGTTGATGCGTACATGGTGGTAGACAGTGATGAAGAGATGCCTGCAGCAGGCGCTGTTACTTGAATGAGTTTGGCTACCCCTTCTATGCCAGTGGTCCCGATAGCTTTTATGCTGTGTCGGCAGTATAACTTGTAAGAGGTTCGGTGTGTATCCAGAGTCATACATACATCCATGTGTACACATGAAAGTCAGAATGTGTGGGTGTGGTCAGCATACGTTGGGTGAGACCGTCTGTGCACATGAATATCTATATATGTATCACATATATGTATATATCGCTCTCTCTCTCTCTATCGAAGTAGAAACTGGAACAGTTGTGGCAGTGCTTTGTTTGCATGTACATGTCTAGCCAACTTAGCGCAAAGAGTAAGTGGAAAGAGACTAGACCAGAGTCTGGTACTAGTGTTCCATCGACATGTAGACACATACATACATACAATACAGCTGTATGTATATGTGTTTCCAGGTATCTACATATGTAGGCAGGTAAGTGGGTTGCTAAGTTTGCCTGCATTGAAACTAATGACTCGTATACACACGTGTGTGCACGTGACTTTGGCCATGTGCAAGGTCTCAGCTCTCTTGTAGCTTAAGAACAGGATCATTCTGAAAGTGTTCAACATCCACTAAAAGTATCCTGGCTTGCAATGTAGACGCGACATCAGGATTCTGTGGCCTTTCCTGGTCCTGACCTATCTGATGATGCCTTGCACCGACAACTGCTCATGCTGTCTGCAACACAACTGGAGCCCGAGACTCCGGCGAAGAATCTCGGTGGGACTTCTGTGATGGAGGCCTACTGTAAAACCCCGACTTAGCCTGCGCACTTGAAACCCTGAACCTGAATTCCTTATCCCTAATGAAATTCAGTTGTAAAACCCACTCAACCTCCCACCCACATAAGCTTAAGCCCTCATACACATGTGTCTGGCAGACACCGCCATCGAAGATACATTCCTCCCGGACACCATCGTCACGAGCCAACGTGAGCCCTGATGATTCCCAGCAGTCGGCCCTCTCCAAGACCCCGACAAGCACGACATCCCAGACGCCCACCCCACCCAAAGGTGGCCAGGCCTCCTTGCATGAAGTCCATGTAGCCGAAGAAGCTGCCAAGAAGGTGCAAGGTTTATATAGTGGTTAGCTAGTCTGGGTGATACATGTATGGGCCACTTCAATATTCTGGGTTTGGGGTTTCTGAACCTGTTGCTTCAGGGGAGCAAACGTGAGATTGTGCAAGTCGGGGAGATCAGCCTGCCTCAGCAAGAGTACAACAACTGGCGAGGGAAGTTCGGGCGGGCCTGCACTCCGAAAACTGCGTCAGGGCGGCTCGATGTACCCAAGGAAATGCATGAGGTTTTTCTTGCTAAGGGTAAGGCCAAAGAGCAGATGTTCGAGCAGTTTATCAGATGTGGTGGTGACAAGGATCGGGCACACAATCTTTACAAAGACGCAGAGGGGCTAGGTTGGTGCTTGGTCTCGGGTCCTCTAGAACTATGTACTCCTTATATTTAATAAATATAATAAGTAAATAAATAAATAAATAACTAAATAAATTTAAATATATATATATATATATATATGATATCAATATAGTTGTTGCAGGACCAATTCGTCCGCCGCTTCATGCTCAAGAAAGTCTCCGAGTCCACGAAGGAGTTGGGCGAGGAGGGTGGGTATTACACTCCCGAGGAAATGAAGAAGATGTTGAGCTACTCCCAGTGTCTTGAGTGCAATTGCCCTGAATTTCATACCTTGGCAGATTTAAGCCTATACCAATCCTTACTAAACCCTAACTCGAGCTCCACGTGCCAAAGCCCAGACACACACATACATACTGAGTGCCAGAAATATACAAGTATGTATGTGTATGTATATGTACATATATGTCTGCACAGGCATGTTATCTAGATGTGCATGCCCATTATAGGGGTCAGATCCATAATATACATATACATACACAAACATACACATGTGTCTATATATTTATATACATACATACATATAGGTATGTGCGTTTGTGTATGTATATGTGTGTATTAGATATACATGTCTGCAGGGACACACACATGCCCACCCCAGATAAAGCCTATGGAAACCCCAGCCATCCTAATCATATGGAAGCTGTATTTCAAAATCGATTTCACAAATCTCCTGTCAGCAACAATGTTCCCCTAAATCAGACACCCTCATAAACCCTATCAACTCCAACCCTGTACATAAGCCCTGGATCCCCTAGTTCTTCAGACCCTTGTCTCATTCCCTCCCATGTTTGTTGTTCCCCTATATATTTCGTGTATCTTGCTCTTGATTTGATGTCGTATACCTAGAGACCCAAAGGATTCTTCTTATACTAAACACAAGAAGCTTCTCAAGGAAGCCGAATGGATTCTCAAGTTCACGAACATTTTAGGATAATATTTCGATGCTTCCTCCATCCCACATATGTATATATATATATACACATCTCTCTCTCTCTCTCTCCCTCTGCTTCAGCTTAGGACCCGGGCCGACCAGACGGTGGCATGGTGCAATGATCCTGCCAATGGGGAGGATCTGGTGTTGTGTCCTGACTAACTAGATCACAACCCTTGCTGCCTGCACTCAATCAAAAAGCTTTGTTTGCTCTAAGCACCCTTTATGCTTACGCCACCTAGGACAGACCTCGTCGACAAGAACATCAAGTACTATTGGTGCCGCACACGTGTCAAAGGTCTTAAGCGCTTAAGACAGACACAAACTGCAGAGGAGACGGTTGAGGGCGAGGGCACCGGTAGCATAGGACTTTCGGGCCTGGATGTCAATGCGTGCACCCCAGCCAACTTGGGCATCCGAACGGCTGCTGATGTTGAGTCTGCAACAACCGAGGCCTGGGATGGTGTCTAGGGTGGTGCTTCTTGAGAAATTAATCTGGGGAGTCTACTGGTATAAGGATTCGGTTTGCTTTCAGTTTCCTTTACATATAAACACACATTGTTACATCAGCCACTGGCTGAGCTTCATAGTTTGTGTGCCCAGGCTGAGAGGCTGGAGCTCCAGCAGAAGGAGCTTCTTGCGGTTCAGGAAAAGTGCTCCAGTCTGTTGGACAAGCTATCTCTAGTCGATGCCCCTGAGAAGAAGGATCGTGTGACAGAGAGCCCGGACTTGCAATTCTATAGATACCACTCTGCAAGTATGTGTGACCCCGAAGAAATCATTTTACTGGGTGCTTTGGCTCCTGTATGCTGCTAAGGACCCGGGGCAAGCTGAACAACATGGCCACGTCGGCTGAAAAGCTTTATGAGAAAGTGGCTGATGCTGTTGCCAAGATGAGCACAAGCCAGATGAGTACGAAAACCCCCGAGCTCCTAGTCAATGATTAATCACATTTGCCAACCCCTTGCAGCCTATGTACTATATATAGTTTAAAGAAACATCTATGGATTCTGCTCAGGGGCTCCAAGCATGTCTTGGACCTTACAGCCGAGTGCAAGAAGCTGCCAGGACCTTAAAGTGAAGAGCACATATTGCCAGCCTCAATATCTTATCAAATCCCCCAAAATATTCCAACAAAAGCCGAAACCCCTTTTCACCCTTTCGGGGCCAGGTGCTCAATGTGGACGGGCCTGGAGCGCACGTGCCGGCCACTGCCTCAGCAGGCTCTTTCTCAATAGTTCAGCAAAAGCTCGTCTGTGGATGCTGGGCATGGGGTAGGACCTACAGCATGTGATATTCACTAAATGGAACAAGTTGTTGTCTCAGAACTTCCATGGCTGCTACTGTTTCGCCCAGGCCGATCCTTCGCAAGCCGGCCCGGAAGAAGGAGGAAGAGGAGTAGAAGTAGGGCTCAGGAGTTACGAATGGGGTTCAAAAAACACAGAATGTGTTGGGGTTAATTACAAGTTGCTCTGAACCTGCCGTGTACAGCTACACGCGGGAATGTTTCAAAGCTGCAATATCAAAGCCATGTATGTTCGTGATCGGTCTTTCCAAAGCAAACCTTGCTGCTGTGGATGTGCCCTGAACTGGACACAGACCTTTGTGGAACAACTAGATGCACGTGGGTGGCTCGTGCAGACGAAATTACATGTGCACTTCTGCTTTATGTCTACTACGCATGTCCTATGCCTCCTCGGTCCGCCGAACACTTCAGCTTCCAATTCTGGTACCTAGTGGTAGCATGCCAGGTCGACGGGAGGCGACCGAGACATCCAAGTTCATGGCCGATGCCATTGGGTCAGGTGTGCTACACTCAGCCACACGTGGAGTTGCTGCACATGTAGTGAGTGTGATGTGCTTGAGTTGTTGCTACACATCTTGTTTAATGACTCGGTCTGCCTCAAGCTATTGCCGCTGGTTAGGCATGACACAGCCGGAGGAGTGGCTAGAAGAGTTGCTAGGNNTTCTGTCAAGATGGCAGTCGCAAGTTCAGCGAGCCATGTCCACCCTTTGTTCCCATACCAGAAGGCCTGCTTGGGTGCTTCTTTGTAGCAGGCCCTTGTAGGCTAGGCTTAGCTAGCTATGACAGCCTTGAAAGGACCCGGCGACGACCTCTTTGATGCACCACTTGCTGTGGCTGAACAACGAGAAGCCGATGATGAAAGCCCCTGGGTTTAGGAAGTCATTAAGTGGTTACTTAGGGATTTAGTTTGTGCAAGGTCAATTGAAGTTTCAAAGTAATTAGCCGGCTGGGAAGCATGGGTTATATTGGGGGTTCTGTCCAGGGTTCTGAGAAGAAAAATCAATGTCTACATTATACTGCATGGATCCTTAACCACGATCGAGGCACGACAATGAAACCAAAGTAACCCCGTACGACATAATCTCAATGTATACAAGCCTGCTCCACTCTGGGTGCCCGAACAGGTCTTTGCCCCTTGCATGCAGCACAGCATTGAACCTGTCCGGGTGCCGGGCTCTGCTTTGCTTGGAGATTTCGGGTGTGCTTCCTAACAACGCAGAAGACCATAAGGCTTTGATTCGAACTTGCTATGCAGGATATTGAACATTCTCTGCCCCNNCCCCCCCCCCCCCCCCGAATTAACACAGACACCTCTATGATTCACTAAAGTAACTGATGCACTTAACATAGTTCGTCTTTCCGAAGCCATCCATCATCAGTCTCGCATCCCCCCCAACACAACCAGGCTACAAGCAGATTGAGATGTTCAAACCTTCTGTCCGTGATCTCCCACGGCTGCGGCAGCTATTGCTGGAAGGCCTCGGCAATGATGATCGTGTGAAGCTTCGCCTGCCACGACCTTTGCTGAGTGCAGGCAAAGCTCTGCTTTCCATTAGGGAAAAGGTTGGTAGCATCCTGGACTTGGGGCCCACTGTGTATAAGATCGGCCTTACAGGTGATCCCATGTTCCGTTTTTACAAGAAGCCTTCGAAGACAAGCTTGTCAGCTGGTTACCGCTATGATCTAGAGCAGTATGAAGAAATGCAAGTTCTGTTCGCAGGGGCCACATGGGATGAAGCTGCCTTAATGGAGGCTGTGTGAATTTGCGAGTTTCAGGGCCGGCCTGGCAATCGCAATATCAATCCTGGGGGTGAGGGGCGGCAAGTCCATGAGCCGCCATACTTCACATACATTGTGTTCAAGTCGGCCCTGATTGCGCCGAAGCGCCAGCGCAGATCTACTTATGGGGGAAGGTGAAAAAAGAGTGTATCAGTCTATCATGTCTGGTGGCATCACTGAACTGCAAAGTTGACGTAGGCAGTCTTGTTGGCATGAACATGTGCCCCACCCTAGTGGCAACCAATCCAAGTTTATATGTCCCCAATCAAACATTTTATGTGGGAAATGCCTCCGACTGAGGTGCCGTGCTCCAAGATCGTGGGGCTGGCGAAAGCAATGAGGGCCGACGGCCTGACGGCCTTGGGTGCCGGCTTCATCCATGAGCTATCAAAGGTTTCAGAGAAAGATGCCGAAACACAGGCACACAAGCTTCTAGACAAGCACAAGCTCAGTCTGCCCATTCCGCTCAAGCAGGTTCATGGGGATGCAGCAATTGCAGGTTTTCCGAGATTGAAGCCTTTAGATATCTTCCAATACATGGCCGATACCGGTCATGTGAACAAGCTGCTGGGTGGAAGGACTGTGCAGTCCAGTCAGCTGTTTCTATTGGATTTTTGGGAGAACTACAAAGCCACCCATCCGGATTTCGAGCTCTTTTCTTCAGACCGTTACAGCGACATTCCTTTGGAAGACTGCATACCGATCATTGCACACATAGATGGAGGCAGAGGCTATAAGAAGAGTGAGTTCATGATTTTTGATTGGGGGGCTGTCATAGGCTCAGGCTCGGGGAAAAAGAACAAGAAGGACCCAGCTGTTCGAGCTTTGAAAGCCCGTGGCAACAAGATGCAGTTGCCTTTGCTAGGCCACTCCTACACTACGCATTACCTTTATGCTGCGATGCCATCGGCCTGGCACAAGAATCATGAGGATTCATTTCAGGCATTGCTTCGGACTTTCGCCGAGGACCTCAAGGAGTGCTTTGACGAGGGGGTTTCCTTCAAAGGCCGGGTTCTACGGCTAGTCTTACTTGGGCTCAAGGGTGATATGAAAATGCAAGCACGTGCCGGTCGCCTAACCCGATGGTTTACAACAGCGCGCAAGGCTCCATACTCGGAAACAGCGAAAGGTACTGGCCAATGCTGCTGGTTGTGCTCAGCTGGGGATGTCAGTACCCCGTTCGAAGAAGTGAACACGGACAAACCCGCTTGGCTTGTGAGGATGCCTACATTTACAGAACCTCCATGGACACCTGGGCTCGAAGGAGGCATGCTGAGCCCCTCCTTGTCCTACGTGGACCGGCCTGCGAAATTTTACATGGCTGATTTGTTCCACGTGTATTTGTCCGGAGTGGGCCAAGACTTTTGTTCATCTTGCCTGGTCTACATGCTGCCAAGTTGTTTCCCGGGCTCTGACGGTAATTCCGTGGATGCACAAATCGAGAAGTTGAATGTTGTCTTCAAGGAGTGGAAATTGAAATTCCGGGAGCCGGTGCATCTGACAGCTTTCACGAGGGACAAATTGCAGTTCCATGATGCTACTTCCGCATTCCCTGCTGGCACTTGGTCAAAGGCCGCCGACACTGCACGGATAACAAAGTTCATTGTGTATGTCTGTGAGCTACACAAAGACAGTGGTGACAAGATCATGCTATACATCCATCGAGCAGCTTGTGCAATCAGCCGCTTCATGAAGGCTTTGTACGATGCAGATCTATGGATAGATTTTGGGTGGCAACTGGCATTATGTTTTGGTAGGCTAGAAGCAGCTAAACCAGACGGTGCTGTACACCCAAAGATACATACTTGGACTGTTAAGTTGTGCCCATTTTTGTCTTTCAATCGACCCAACTGATCCAAACAATATTCTTGTATGATTCTCGAACACTTGTCAACACAAGCCCAGGAACCAGCAGCAACGGCGGCGATTGTGGCAGATGGCATGCTGTTTCTCAAGTGCTATTCCAAGCTTGCAGGATTGGCTTTTGCAATTCGCAAACCATTGTGGTGCTACCGCCCCAAGATCCATGCTCTCCATCATATGATTCTTGAAATGCACCACGCTTCGCGAATGAACGTTCCGGCTCTCAATGTTTTGGCCGTGTCCTGCTCCCAAGCGGAAGATTTTATAGGCAGGACGGCGCTTCTTAGCAGACGTGTTGCTTCTTCGACTGGACAGAGGCGGGTGTTACAGAGGTGGCTGGCGGGAGCACAGTCGCAGTGGTCCCGAAGCTGAGCCCCAGGCCGTTGTCGGAGCGAAGCTGCTCGCGAGGATGATGGTGAAAACGAGCGAAGTCGACCGAACCTATAGACCACCATTTAGTATAAGCAGAAACCAGTCAACACCGTAGCCACAACATCCCAAACCCCGCTGCTGCCCGCACTTCTTGAAGTCCGGACCATTATCTGCAAAAATCCGAACTCAGAAGCCTTGTAAAGCCCTACATGAACCAACAAACCCCAACTCATAAGCCTCAAAGCCCTTCATGTGTGTTTTCAGACAAGACCTGCCCAGAGGCACGCTTAGATTCGAGTGCACGCTTAGATTATGGTCGGGGAACAGGGGTCCAGGTAAACCCTAAACCCTAAACTCTGACAGCCGCGAGCGCTCTACGCCTGTGCTGCGCGGCCCCATGCGAGAAGGAGCGTTCGTCAGACCTCGATGAAGAGTGGTTCTGGCTTTTTTCCAAGGGTGCAAAGGACTTAATAGACTCAACAACTGGGAACTTGGGTTTAGGATAGTAGGTATGTAGGGCCAGCAGTTTTGAGAGTATATGACTCATTTTAGGTATTTGGACCCTTCGAGTTTATAGTTGGAGCTTTAGCCTTGTCGTGGCAGGCCTGAAGCCTCAGGCCCCCAAACAAAAAAAACACAAAAAGCAAACACCCTAAGCCCTAAACTCCCTGGAAACCCCAAATCACCCAACAAAACCCCTAGCCAGATTGTCACGATGGACCTTCAAGTAGCGACGGTTGGTTGACAGCAGATTCAGGTTTGGCCTAGCCAGATTTTTTGAAGTCGGGTTTAGGGTTTAGGGGTTTAGGGTTTAGGCTTTAGGGATCCCTAAAACCTAAACCCTAAACGGTGTAAGACCCTAAGCCTTGTTCCCTTACAACACCCAAAACCCTACTTTCTACACCCTAAACTTCCTAAACTAAACCTCAGAGGTGAGGTCAGGGCCATCGTTCCGGCACAGTTAACGTGGACCTTTGATTAAACCCCCATTGTATTTAAGGGGCTTGCATGAGGGGGGACCCCAACAGATTGTAGAAGGTCTAGGGTTTAGGGTCCCTAAACCCTAAACCCTAAACCCTAAACCGAAACCTTCAAAGGAGCCCTGGATCTGGGAGCCTACACCCCGAACTGGAATCCTTTAAAAGGAATCCTAAACCCTACACCTTTTAACGATCTGAGGACATACCTTATACACCCTAAACCCTAAAGGATCCGTTAGTACGAGCCCTTTAAAGGAGACCCCTTAAACCCTAAACCCTTAAAGGGAGCCCTTAAAGAAGCCTTGATAAGGAGCCCTTAAAGGAACCCTTAAAGAAGCCCTTTAAAGGAGTCGGAGCCCTTTAAAGGAGACCTTTTTATCGATCTGAGGACATGCAGGTTTCCGAGGTTCAGGCCTGGCGATGGGTGCCTCTGGCCAGGCCTCTTGGCCTCGGAAAACCTTTGAACGGGGTCCATAGGGTTTTAGGGTTAACGGTTTAGGGTTTAGGGTTTAGGGTTTAGGGGTTTAGGGTCTATAAGGGGTCTGTATAAGGGGGCCGTTTAGGGTTTAGGGTTCTAAAAGGTCCACCCAACAAGGCTCAATAAGGGATCTATAACGAGTCGATAAGGGTACTTGAGGGCGTGGAGGGTTTCAAGGTTGGGGGTTTTCTAGGGCTGGGTGTTTACAGGGGAGACTCAGTAGCTGAGCGAATACACTTTTACACTTTTTGAGACAATGTTGTGCCATATTATCCTTCCTTTGGCTGCTGAACTCAGCAGCTACGTCTATAAGGGGTCGGTTTGGGGCTTATAGGGTTTTTTCACGTTACGGGGTGAGGGTTCAAGGGTTTTGTTCAGAGTTCAGGGTTTCGGGTTTAAAATTTAGGAGTTTAGGGTTTAGGGTTTAGGGGGATCTATAAGGTTTTCGAATGGGTCTCTAGAACGGTTCTACCAAAGGATCTGAAGGGTTTAAGGGCTTAGCCTAGGGCTTTGAGCTTCCCTTGAGGGTGCCTGTCAAGGGTTCTAGGGGTTTAGGGTTTGGGGTTATAGAGAGGGAGCGGGTTCCCGGTTTCGATTGCAACGCCTTCCGACAAGGTGCTACAAGGGATCTAGAAAGGTTTTGGGCTTTGGGGCTAGGATTCTTGTTATTCGTTCTGATGGTGTCTTTGTAGGGTTGAGAGTTGAGGGTGCTGCACTGGAATCCGATCCCTGGCCCTAGACCGAATAAACTCATAGCGTGAAGCCCGAATTTGCTGAAAGGGTTGAGGGTCTGAGCGAATACTTACTGTCTGATTTGATTCGGATGCCATGTTCTCTGGGAGTGCTGCAATATTATTATATAGAGGTCTGAATAAGTACTACTAACTTGCATCCCCTCGTATGCCGTAGTTGCAGCATCCGAATATTGTTTTGTTAGGGTCCATGTATTGAGACACCCTTATTTACAACATGCCATAGAACCCTTGTAAACCTTATAGCACATATTCGATCATATCAATAAATTAAGGTATCGAAGGCCCTGCAGTGCAGCTGAGGCTGTCCTCGAGCAGTGTTCAGTATGACGTGGAGCTGAACATCACATCCCGCATGGACACGCCAGCCTGTCTTTTGGCTTTAGGCTGCGTACTAGCAGACATTTCAGAGATTTGTCGGAGGTCCTTCAAGGTTGCATCCGGGATTGGTAGTAGTTTGGGAGTCTAGGCGTAAGGTTCAGGCTATAGGGTGTTGAGGTCTAGGGCTAGAGTCGTAGAACACTGTAATCTGTAAGCAGAGTGCACCCAATCACTGCTCAACATACCAATGTCGACATAGCAAGAGTTACTATGCCTTGAAGGCATGCCGGTATAGCAATGTCCGCACATCCGTCCTGCTGAAGTTCGTTTCCCAGAGGGATGGCGTGGCTTAGGGTCCCTTGCAGGGTTTACGACAACATATATGTGTATATGTGTGTGTAATGTGTATATATATATATATATATGTATGACTATCTGAGGGTCCAGTCTTTGTAGATGTTCAGGGTCTCTATGTACTTAGATCAGGTCCCTCAAGGTCAATTCGACAGCCGAGTGGAAGGTCGCAAGTGGATGAAAACTTGGAGAAAGAGAAAATAACTAAAGCTACCCGGACCTCTATAACAGCCTCTATACCCGCAAGTATAACTACCCGAGCTTCCGGGTGCCAGGCCTTCGTTCAGGACTCATAGGGTTTAGTCTAGGACATTTTCGGGTGGGTAGTTATCGTTATAGGAGCCTTATAAAAGGTTTATATAGCTTATGGAAGCCTTATAGAAGCCCTATATACCCTAAACTCCCACCTGAAAATGTCCTAGATTTAGGGTATATAGACTTGAAATCCTGGGCTTATGTTTTCATATTAGCGGTGGCCAGGATCAGTGGCTGCCGTGGATGCCATCACGCCTGCGAGCCAGGCAGAGTCGAGTTCTGGCCCTGTCCTTCGACGAAAAGCCATAGGCCTTAACTTTGAACCTTGAACAATTTAAGCCCACTTTTAACAGCTACAGGTAGATTTCGAGACATGCAAGAGTCTTTTTGGGCTGCTGGCTTTCTAAGGTTCCAGGATGAAAAGCCGCAGGCCTTAACTCTGAACCCTGAACCATTAAACCCACTTTCACGTTCAACAGCTATAAGTGGACCTGAACCATGAAAGCCACTTTCACTTTCAACAGCTATAAATGGATTTCGAGACAAGCAAGAGTCTTTTTGGGCTGCTGGCTTTCTAAGGTTCCAGCAGTTTCAGGATTATCTTGAGGTCCTGACGAGTTGACTAATTAGTCTCCCTGCTTGGAGGCCAGAGGGACTTAGTAAGTAGGTTACAAGTAGAGTTATAAGTACCCTAAGTGGAGTTACCCCAATTATAACCCTACTTATAGCTGGCTTACTAAGTCCCTTGGGCCTCCAAGCGTAACACCGTCATTATCATGGTCGTGAAAGGACTCCTATTCAGGACATCTGATGGATCAGGGGGTTTGGAACATATGTTGCACATCTATTGTATAACCAAGCCGTGGTCGCCCTGACTGGAGTAATCCTACTCCTGTGGAATTTCTTGCAGCTTATATGTACTACTTTTTAGTAGGTCTCTAAGTTTAGCATCGGTTCAGGGAAAGGACAAGCCCGACCGAAGGATATCTCAGGGGTCCTCATATCCAGGTCATACGTAGTGTTTCGAGCTTCAGTATTACAAGAATTCCAGACGAACCAAACAATCAGGCAATTCGAAGTACACAGCAACAGCTTACACTTCTTTTGCCGAGGGCAATAGTCACCATATGTCATCATGGTACCTGAAGCAGGAATGGACGTTGCTGCTGATGGTGAACCAGAGAAGGACCACTCCATAATTGAAGAGCACAGCCATAGCTGTCGCAATTGCAAAATGCTAGCTTATCTTGGTAACAGCAGTGTTGTATAGGCAACCTGAATCGTGACTGTATAAGTGGCTCTAGAATTCTAGTACTGGCAGCTTCGGCGGCAGTGGTCGTGGGCATAAACACCGTAGTTAGAAGTCGGCGTTCACAAGTAGTTGATAGTCGGTTCACTAGGAGTTAGCAGTAGCGAGCATCATCGTCGTCGTCTGAATTTTGGCTCATCCGCAGGCTGGCGGATGTGAAGATGCCTTGCATATACCTGGAAGCTGTCGATGCCCACGCAACGAGCTCTTCCGACATGTGACCCGGCTGCTTATGTCTGCCTTCAACAAACCTACAAAGCTCGAAGCCAGACAGCTTTAGACAAAGAAAGCCCCCAGCAGACTATTGAATTTCTAACACACAAACTACAAATCCGGAGCCACCCGAAGCCTCCAAACACCCTGCATCTACCATCGCATCACACCAAAAGTATGATTGACAAATCAAAAGGCTTAGCAAGTAAGGTTCGGGTTAAGGGTTTAGAGTTCATGGCTCAGCAAGTAAGCTTATAACTTCTGATTAGATGGTGGGGCTATC